GAAAAAAAAAAAAAAAAAAAAAAAAAAAAGACTTGAGTTGCTATGATGCTTACATTACAACCATACATTTCTTCTCTAGGCTCAAAGAGATGCTAAACAGGGTCTCATGGTATGTTATTTCTCAACTATCCCTGATAAATACTACTGTAGTGGATTAGCCTGTTACTGCTATAGTTGATTTGATTGCATAGGAATAATTGTGACTCAGTGGACAATGTGATGCCAGTAAACCCGTCTGCCAAATCTACCACAGAATCCAGGGAATGGGACAGCAAGAGTTCCTAATCCAAGAATTCAGACTGGATCAGATTATGCAAGAATGACTGCAACCTGGCAGAAAAGTCCTGAGTCTGAGTTAGCTTCAGTATTGCAGTGGAAAGATCAGATGACTTATTGGGTGTGAGACTCAGATTCTCTGGCAAAGCAGTTTATTTCAGAATCACATATGCAATGTCTCATTGGAATCTTTAATCTGTATTCCCATCAGACCTCTTTTAGGTTTAAGTTTTTGTATGTTTCATGATTTATTTAGTAACATGGGATTCTGTTACGTTCCTTTAAGGGTTTCTTTTGTTTAATAGATTATTACATTTGCGTATTTGTCCTCTGATTTATAGATGTCTAGTTTCTCTCCCATGTTTCAGCTCCCTACCTAGTTTCTTCACCTCAGACCCCAGAGGCAATATTAACTTATTTCTTTATTGTTTTTCTACACACTTGAACTCCTCCTCCCAAGTTTTGAAATTCCTCATATTTAGCTTCCTCACAGTCACTCCTGTCTTCTCTGGTATTATTTCTTTTTCCTCCCCATTCTAAGCCTTTGGCAGCCCCATATCTTACCTAGCTTATTGTCCTCCCTATTGAAAAGTTCTGACTACCACATAACTTTCCTCAATCACAAAGTAAACCCAATTTCTCCCATATCTCAGCCTTGCCCCTACAAAATATCCTCTGAAAACTCTAAAAACTAACCTTTCAACTCAACTAAAAGTACTCCAATAAAATCAGTCCCCACACCAACTTTTTCTTCTCATCTATTACTATTCCAATTCAACCCTCCCCCTTAATGTCTAACAGTCCTCATCCAACCACCTCCCATCCTCCCTACCACATCCTAGCTACCTCACTGCAGAATAATCACAAATAACAAACTGTCACAGTGTGTAGAGAATAGACAAGCGGGGAGTAACTGCAAGGACTATCATATAGAAGTGTTGTAAGACTGAATCTGTGAGTGCTATTATAACCAGAAGTAATGCTTTCAGAAAAACCTAAGGACAGATTTGAAATCACTTAAATAACAGAAGGAGTAAATCCTAGCACTGGCCATACAAAGCTGAAAATTATTCATGAGGAGGCAACATCTTACTAAAAATCTCCATATAAGCAACAAACTGTCCTTACTTCTCTAGTCCCCTAACCTGCAGTAACCCCACCCCCAGAAGGGAGAGAAAAAAGGAGAGAGCCCATAATTTCAAAAATAAGTATCCATACATATGTGTGTACACATACAAATACACATAGGAGAATGGGGAAGCAAGCAAATAGAAGATCTACGATCACCTCCCAATTCTCCCAAGGCAGATCAAGTGATCACAAAGGAAGAGGAAAACAAATACCAGGCAACAGGAATCTATGAAAAGTTCATAGAAGGGATGAAAAAAATAGATGAGTTCAAAGAGAAAATGAACTAAAAATTCAGCAGTTTCACTCAGTATTCCCATGGTGAACTGGAGGGAAATAGGTACAAAACTGGATGAGTTAACCAAAATTTGAATGACAGATTCAACAAGGATATAGAATCTTTGAAAAAATTTCAGACAAAAATCCCTGAAACAGAAACTATAGAAGCTGGGGATTTAGCTCAGCGGTTTGGTGGCCTGCTTGCAAGCGCAAGGACCT